CGCGCAAAATCTGTAGATTGATCAGAGTTAGACAATAACATCGTTGGATGCCGGCCCACTAGTCCAGAAGTTAGACGTTCGGGGGCAGGACCGAAGGCCCTGGGTTCGTATCCTGTGAAGCTCAGGATTCGTGGATGCGCACTGCTGATAAGTCCCATACTAGGATGAAACGGCCGTCCAGTGCTTCGAGCTTTCTAATAGTGGGCTTACAATGTAAATACATACAAACATTTTGAAATTAGAAGTAATAGATAAATTATGAAAATAAAATGATCCCTTTACTCCATATTCAATAAAAATCTCTTATAAATTTTACTTCCGAAGTTAACTTTAATATGTCAGTTCTAAGTGGTGTATTAATACTACGGGCTTTGTATTTTTATTATGAACAAAATTAGCTATAAATATCAGTTTATTGATGAGAATATAAACTAAACATGTCTGTCACTATACTTTACTAGTTCTCGATTATTATATATATTTACAAAGATTTATACTTTGTGCTGGAAAACAAGCAAACATAGTCACCTAACTTAGGTTTACAATAGCATAAAAACAAGAACAGGGATTTCAGGATCGTGTGTATTGAAGTATTTGGTTGCTGTTCCATATGGAGATTATATCTCTTGACGTTGCCCAACTATATAGTGAGCAAAATTTTTTGATCAGAAATGAAAAGGATGTGAAAAACCCACTTGCTTAGGTATTACAGCTGACAGCAACAATAAAGAATACCGGTATAAATAAAAAACTATATGACATCAGTTTGAATGAGTTTTGTCTCTTTCTATTTCGCATGAAATGACAATCATATATATAAGTAAACTGTTTTATTTTACCATTACGTCACTGTTGAGTAAAAAATAACAAATAGAATGTGGCGTAGTTTCATTTTCAAAGAAAGTATTCATGTATATTCTATCATCTCATTAAGCTGAATGACTGAACATTTAACTTATTAATAAATGTCAAAAAGTCTTCAAACTGTTTGGAATTTGAATTGGCAAAACCATATAATAGCACTCAATGTCCAAAAAACCGACAGAATTCAAGATGAGATGAGTTAACGTAACAAATTTGTTTCCTGTCTGTGTTGTCGAATTATTTTCAGAATAATAGTAGTAAAGTCGATACTTTTGAATCGTTGATTTAATGTCATTAAATCGAAATATCTTTTTATAACTCAGAATCTTTGGGTTTTAAAGGAAAAGGAATTCAGTGTAACTACTAAAAGACTTATAATTTATCTAAAAGTAAAATATCTATCACTTTATATCTGCATGTTGAAAATTTTGAAAATAGCCCTTATCTTCCAAATTATTGAACTATATGTATCTATAAGATATCTGATAATAAGCGTTTTCATACAAGTTCGATTTCCAACTTGTGAATGATAATTTAGACTAGTTAGTCACTCAAGGTTCTTATTATTATCATCAAATAGTATACCGATAACATTTTTCATTTAGATAATATGTTAGGAGTGGTTATACCTCATACAGCTGAGGTATCTCATGAGGTAAGATGGTGATCTTCTTGATTTCAAAGTGAAAACTTTTATTTAGAAATAACTTATTTATATTCCATTTACTTTGAATTATAAATAATCTTGTTATATTTAAGAAAAATATGTCTTTTACTTAAGATGTACTTTGTCTATTTGAAATACAAATATTTGTTCAGTACAAAATCTCACAAAATAATTGTACAATGTTTTATTCAATCATGTTCACAAGGTGGATGGAACTCGTTTTATTTAGTAAATGTTTTTCGCTTCAGTATTCAGTTTAATCCTACTATGTGTTTCTCAGATATATACTAACATATCTATGTTTATTTAGATTGTTTAAAATTAAGATAAGAAAAGTCGAAGAAGTATAGAGGAAAACACACATAATGCACTTGATGATTGCCTATAGTGTATAGAATTTTTCATCTCTAGTTGAGATGGATTCAATTCACACTAATTAAAACTAGTAAATCTGTATGTTTTTGTTTTTGTTGTGCTTTTAAATAAATTACTAAAAAGAGGCAATAATTCAGAATAACAAATCAATAGGCGTCTAGACATATACGATAGTTTAGTGACCGAAAACAATAAGTCAACCTCAATGAATATTCTGCTTCTATTAAGTATTGGTGAAAAAGCTATCTTGCCAAAAAACTGTTATCACCAATGCACACCACCTTCAGCTGATCATTTAATATAATTTATTGGTTTTATTAAAATACATTGTACAATATTCATAGTAAGTCATACCTGTAGAGAAGTTAACCCAGTTCAATTATGAGTCCTATAAAGACCAGCATAGGATTTTACTGTTGGAGCTTATTAAAAATTAAAATTAACGAAATGTAATTACATTAAATGCTGAAAAACAATAAAAAATGGTCAGGATACAAGTTGGTTCGATTAGTCAAATATACTAAAAGAAATAATACTGCTACAAGCATAAGTATCATATTTTCATGGACGAATAAGTTTTTTTTAGAAATTATGAGAACCAAAGTTGGGACGAAATATAGCCTCTATTAACTTTTCGTTCTTATTAAAATACTTCTGGAAGCATATAGAGTTTAGATACTGAAAAGAACTAATTGAAGAAGAGTTAAAGAAAGTTCACAAAGTGAAATTGCTTCCATTATATTTCACTTCATGAACTAGGCGATCGTTAGGCAACTCCCCTTTGACTCTTGAAATTCTCAGACAATTGATTATGTAACTATTTCTGTTTTTAAATGCCGTTGAAAGGAAAATATTATCTGTTTAGTTGTCTTCAATTTTCCTTCAAACTAATAAACTTGGAAACTATGGTTATTTGGAACCAAATAACCAATCATGGTTCATGAAAATGTAAAAAGGGCAGATACCATGACTGAACAACTTTTACTAGTTATTATTACAAATTAAACCAAACAAGACTTGTAATTATCGTTTGTATGTATGTAAATGTTTACAAAATATTAATAACAATATATATGTGTGTGCATATGCCATTCAGAGCACTATTTTCCAGAAACAGTTAATAAGTTTCAAGTTATAAACATTGATCATATTACTAAGGCGTATTATCTGCTTATTCATGAGAATGGTTTGATAAAGTGATTAAATAGATCAGAAAATAAAAAGGTTACCAACTATAAACTTAAACAGTTCATAACTGAAATACAGCTCATTACAACCTATCCTTTTGAAAGTGATAAACATAAAATTACTGAAAAAAATTTTAGTGAGTCGTAGAAACAAGCTTATCAATACGGTAGATCAATCGTTTATACATAGTTTAAATTCTGATTGTCATTTTTTAGCTAGCCCTTCAATTTGTTACGAAGGAATTGATTTATCTACAATGTTAGTTATACTTTTAATAGCTTAACTGGAAATATTTTCTTATTATTTGGCTACCTGAAGTTTGATGTCAGGTCGATAGGTAAAGAAATTTTACAACTGATATGTCCCTAATCTTGTTACACACTCTCGACAATCACATGACATATTCAATCATTGGTCTTTTCATAAATTCGGAATCATTAGGTTACAATGTGCAGTATTGTGTGGTATAACTAAACAGTGCCTTTGACATATTGTTTGATTTCGTTAGGCTTATTTCAGAAGACAGTACCTAACTTCTAGGTTGATCATGTACGAATCTAGAACACTTGGCCCGACTTTCGATTTGTAAGATGCAAAGAATAAATCGATAAATTTGCAAAAATCTAATGTCTTATGATAAAATACTATCTCATTTTCAAAAAATGGGAAAACAGCTGTTTTCACTACAAAAAAAAGCAAAACATTAACCATGTCATTTATGCACCAAATAAAAGAATGCATACATATTTATGTATTCGAACAAACATTTACGAGTTTGAAAAATTGCACTGTAGAAACATTTGAACTTACTAATACCTCATATTCACTAATGAAGCGCCTATCTTACAGACAAACCACAATAAAAATTCGCACTAATTCGGATCAATCATATTCAGATTTAATATTATATTTTCCATATGACGTAAAATTGTATACCAATGATTTGTCCACTTAAGCCATGTGTATATAAATAAAACAAGCGTCAACTGAAGTGAGAAAAATTTCCTATCGAACAATGAGATTTTCTTACGTCTACAACTAGAGCGAGTAATACACAATTCAGCCTTTGCCACTAGAATAAGTAGAATCACGCTCAAGTTGCGAAATAAAAGCCGGAAGAGATAGGAGAAAGCTTTACTGTAGTAAATGTCAGAAATGTCCAGATAAACCGAGTATAGTTATAGTTTTTTGTATGGAGTGACATCAGCATCCAAAATCACTCATTCCTCAATGAGCGATGTCACGTCATCATCCAATCACCTTAGGAGTGCCTGGAGGCTTCTGCGACCCATTCCAACACATTTAATTGTACTACTTAAGATAAAACATCTTTGACTAGTGAACTACTTTAAAGTTGTTATTCGTCTATAAGTTAGGATTTTTTTGACAAACACTTGTTCGACTAATTATATCTGTGAGGTTCATTCATTATCTTACACTATTGTTATTCTTTTTATGGTTTGTTTACAAAGATACTTCTCTCTGCCTGAACTGAAATATAGTTAGAATTGACGATAATTATTCCAACATTTTCATAAATCTCAGGAAGAGTTGTTCATTGTATTTCAAAAAGGGATTGAAGAAACTATACTGCATAAGCATACTTATTAGCTTCATGTAGAAATAGGTAAACAGTTTGTTGGTCTAGAAATAGTGAATGACTTGCTAAAATAGACCTACGCCAGTAGAGTGTATAAAACTAGTTGTCAACGTCATAATATAATCGATTTATCTGATGAGAGATAACTGTGTTTTTCTCAAGAATTAATAAGTAAACCAAAAATAATAACATGTTATATTATTTTCAGTAAACAAGAAGAATTTACTTCGATTTACCGCAATTTCGACAGCAATAACCCTTCATATATAAGACTCTTAATATTTAACACTACAGGAAAAAGCTCACCTTGTTGTTGAATCTGGAATTGTCGAAGCCAGATTTGTTGAATATATGTTTTTGAGGTTGGTTGGTTTCAGATTCCAAGTAAACAGTAGAGTTAGAAGTGGATATGTTTTGCGACAATGGCGGATTTATCTTAGGTAAGATGGAGTCGGAATAACTTGGAGTTCCACTTAATGGTATACTTGAAGAACTTTTAACCAAACTTCTGTGTGAATTTAAGGATGATGTATTGTATGAATTTCTGACCCACAGGGTTTCTTTAGTAGAAGTCGGTATTACTCTTTGTACAGAACTTGACCTTAGTGCGTATGAATGACATGGCTTTGCTTGCGGTGTAGGACTAGAATGATATTCAGGTTTCGGAGGAAGTGATCCAAATGAATTTTCGGACGATCCAAATGAACTGGAGTAAGATGGACTTGGTGATTTGATTCTCAGTCTTTCCATTTTTGAAACATCAGAAGATATTTGCATGTGGAATATTTGGTTAGGTGAACTAGGATTTATCTAAAAACAGTTTAAACGAACCGAAATGTGTTCATTAAGGAGAATAAATATTAAATTCAACTTTTTCTCCCAGTATAAAGCATCGATAGTGGTTTTAGTAACATTATGGCTAAACTGTCTCTTATACGAAACTCATTTCAGGTTTTCTGCATTTTTAATTCAATTATCTTAACCAGGATCAGAAGGTAGACCATCATTTTCCAAAAAGTTCATGCACATTTATTTCTTTGCTAAACACAATTTTTGACTCATCAAGAAAATAACCTATGAGTTATTCAGAAAAACTCAACGGTATCATTCTCATTTTTGGTCAGAAATCTAATGCGTCACTATAGTATTTCATTCAAATTAACATCATATAAATAGATGTAAAGTATATCTTTAAACATATCAAGAAGTGACATTGAAGACAATAATGAATTTACTACATCGAAAATGCTTTTTGATGATTGTTTCTTGATTATTTACCCAGGACAAGCACTTACCTCAGATTGCCTTTCTGTTACAATACCCTCTCCATTTAGTTTTTCATCAGCGTTTATAACATTAGGTTTATGAGGTCCTTTATAGTATAAAAAGAAACCAAACAAAAGATTTTTGTATGCAAAAAGTATACAGAAACTATTAACTGTATTTATACTGGTACTATACAATTGAACTGAATTCAGGTTTTAAGGCATTATGGTCCTTTTCCATCATTACCATATATGTGTTTATAAGTATCTGATATTTATTTTAGTAATGACTAATGGTGAATATCATGGTACGATGAATTTTGATATTTTTACCCTCCTCTAACCTTTCCATCAAATGATGTGATTTATTTATTCTAAAACAATAATCAGCTGTAAGCTTTCTAAAGTGCAAAGAATATGCAAAGTTTTGGCTTAAATTGTGGACGAACATGAACAATTTACATAGTAGGCTGCTTGATGTGCATTGATTGATGTCAGTATAGGCATTCAAGGCAAATTTATGAAGTCTACCAGAAACACATATTAACAAATCAACTTATTGAAAGCACTGCAACTATTCTATGCTATTCAAGAATTTACCTTTGATCTACAATTTTGCCTGCTGTAATATTTTTGATGGTGGATAAAGCATGTTTCAAAAACTGAAAGACCTTATATTTGAACTTGGAAACATCAACAAAATTAGTACTCGCCAAACTCACTTTCAAATCTCAGAATATCAGGTTGTGGTGGCAGCATGGCGATTTTATCCAAGTGTTTTTGTGTCTCCTTTTTATAATTCTTCGAAGGCTGGCTGCTTTCGAATGCATTGGTGATTGAAAGTATAGGTACTGAGTGACCAGGATCTTTCTCAAGCTGATAACTACAAATAACGCAAACACAATCATTGAAGTCTACAAATTATCATTGAATTTTAACGAACTGAGGAGATTTAACAAGATCGTTCTCTTATTTTCTCCAGTTTTAAGAAAAATAAAAAACTTTCATTCAGAATGACGATTCGGTAGTTTGATGCTAACTTTTCTGAACATCGAGAGTTCAAAATAATCTCAACAAAAACAATCTCAGTTAAAGCCTATTAGCCAATATTTATATGATATGTAGCTCTTTTTTACTAATTCATAACTTAGTAAATAAATCTATATTAGAAAGAAAATAATATATCTGGTTTCACTCAAAAAATAATTTTGTTATCCTCTTAACAAACATACTTTATTTCGAGTTCTCATTAGACTCATTAACAAATTTTGAATTGTAAAAATTCATCAGGTATCAATGTGTGTTTTGACTTTTGTTTACATTTAAGCACTTTTAGTAAACGCAAAAATTTCCATATCTGAAATCTCAGTATTTAGTATTCTAAAGTAGAGACTTTTAAATTATCAAGATTTTGAAAATACACAGCCATTTCTAGAACATAAGCAGTACGCTTTGAGACATAAGAGTAAAGTGAATTGAGACAATTTCCAATTTTTGACTAATTTACATTCATTTTTGTTAGTACACTTACTCTCAGATCCCCGTTCTTTTGACCGTAACTCTGAAGCACCCATGCAGTCATACTTTTATATATATTTAGTTTAATAAATATCTACCTTTTTGTCATAATAGGACTTTCTTGATGAAGCAAATCTTGTAGTCAACATATAGATCAATTTAATGTAAACTGTATCAGCCGGTATGATAGTAGAACTACACTTTTGCCTCTTATTAATTTATAAATTGCAGTTCCTGAGGTTATCCCATCTGATTACTAATTTGGAAATCTTTACATTTTCGGTTTTATTTGCCCTATTAAACAAATTCAGATAATATTTAAAAGACAGTAGACTGACAAAAGTTCACTTAATTCTTAAGAATTGAAAGCACACAGTCTAGTTGAGTTTTTCAACATTAAACTGTAACAAAATATTTGAAGATTTGAATACTTTTAGTGACTTTTCAAAGCATCATTAATTATATTAAAATATACAAAAGACAAACTGTACATAATGGTTCAACTACATGGATTTCATACATACTACGTATTAGTTGAACAGGAAAGCTTTACTTGACAAAACTGTCTCAACTGCGAATGCTTTTTAGTCTTTGTGGATAAGTCTGTGAAAATAAAAAATGACAAGTTATCCACTCAAAGTCCATCAATACTTGGGTCTTTCGTTTTAAACGATTTTATATTAGCACCTGGTGACAAAGACAAAGAAAGTACTAGCGCATTACAAATTCCGATATTTGTCTGAGAACTTGATTTCATACTTGTCCTACCCGTTTACATTAAGTATTATAGAAAACATCAACACAAAATTAATACCTCTTTGTCATATGAATTGTGGTAGCACATTCGCATATGTTATGTTGATTAGTCCAAAAGTACATATTCGTTGTTGCTGCTAATTAGACTTATTATCACTGGCCAAATATATAACTTATAAAACTACAACGATGTATATCCGAAGTAATCTCTACTGTATGATTACAAGACTCATCCTACGAAGAAAGACTTAAAACTCTTGGTATAATTACCTAATTCTACTACTAATTCTCGGCCTCATACCATTCTTAGATAAACATTTTGACAGAAAATGTCATGTAAACACACATTCGAAGGTCTGCTTAGGGTTCCGCACTTCAGATAAGTGAATCTTGTTTGATGTGTAGTACGTCTTTGGGCTTTTACGCTTGCCAGGGAAATAACTTCAAATCCTTCGCAAAAGCTATATTTCACGGAAACAATAGGTAAATATTCATGAAGATGGACTCTTATTCTGTTACTGATCGATATGTAGGTCGAATAGAAACTGAACAGCTGGATGGTGGAAATTTCAATTCCCGTTGCTTTCCTACTGATTTATATTTTGCAAACAAATTCTGAAGTACTCGTGGTCAGGGTGAAAGTCTTAAGATCACACAATTGTGTGAAGCCATTGTCTTGAAACCATGTCAGGTTGTGACGACTGGTCTTAATTCAATCTTAAGATTTCCTTCAAGTGACTCTTTCCACATTCAAATACCAATCAAAGTTACACATGATGAATATCAAACCCTAGACTGTACAGTTTAAGTAGCTTGAACATATTTAAACTATCAAGAAGTTGAGAAAAGGTGATAAGATTATGGTGAAAAGATAGTCACAAAGTGAACCTGTGGTCCTTCCTATGGAGGTTTTATTCTCTGTTATCCCCAGTAAATGTCTAGCCTGAGATTACAGATCCACGTAATTTTGGCACCTTGTATCACGAACAGTGACCAAGTAATCCTAATTACTTGTTTACATTTCTAATATAGAACTTATATTATCAGAAAATAACTAAATAATGAACCAATCATATCCTATATACGTCCAGAGGTCCCTTTTTATGGATATTTATAAGCTATCAGAACAGAGTATACTGTTCTGGTAATTACAGGTTTCTTTCTAAACGAGTGGAAGCCTCTTATTAGTGGACCGAAACTGAACTTTTAGTCAGTAGTCTATGGATTGTACGTAAATTTCCAATATAAAGCGCCATTATCGATCAGTTAATCAGATTTTCATCTCTGTTACGGTCTTATCAATTATGTTTGAAGAAACTTTATCTTTTTTCAAAAGCAAGACCGGTAACTCAAACGTAACTACTAGTCTATCCGTCTAAAATCAAAAGTAACAGACAGCTTGACTCACTTCCATCAGAATACATGACCTTAGTAAGCATTTTACATCATACTGCATCTAAAGTAATCAGTGCCTACTGGAAATCCCTTATATGACAACCTCTCTGCTCTGTTGAATGAAATCTGGACTCTTTTGACATAATTTCAAGACTGACTTGTTTTCTGTTCTTGCATATGAAGAAGTATGGATTAAAATTGGTCAGTTTATTTAAATGGACAGTGAAAGAGTACATGCAGTTAGTCTATAACAAGACGATAGTTATAGAGTGATACGAAATATAAAACAATGAAACATCCGAGCACAAACTTCTGCAAATTAAACCCTACCCTGCCCTAGTAACATTCTGATTATTGAAATTGCCTATAAATCCAATGGTAGTGCTTGTCCATGTATTTTTATAAAATTCAAATTCGGTTTAGTCAAACATTAACAGAAATCTCAGTAAGCATAAAATAGAGAATTCTCCAATTTTATTAATTCTTCGATACATTATGATCATTAACAGTAAGTCATTTAGAGCTTGTGCGTAAATACTTATATAAATGAGTCACTCTGAACATAATACATATTGTGAAACGGACGTTTCACCTACAAAGTTTGGGACACCTGCGTTTACCAGAAAGTGGCTAGGATAAATCTTTAGAGAATTTTTAAAGCTCGTTTAAAAGGAGTTCTTGTTCCTGTTTTTTTTCTTGCAATGAAAACAGAGATTTTGTTTAAGTGAACAGAGACTATAAATAAAGTATCTTATGGTATGGCACGATATTTTACATAAATATGACGATATAAAGATTCAAGATAGGTCAAAATGGGTATTTAACAAAATGAAAGTCTTAACTTACTATTTTTCAGATTTTAATACAGCAGTCTGCAAAGTGGGCTCGAAATTTACTGGTGTCTGTTGACCAGAGTCATCTGAATCTAAACTATTCCTGTTAAACCAATTTTGTTTATCAACATTAGCGGGATGAGATTTTTCTAAAGATTCGTTTGGTTTAATTGACTGGTTTGTGACCTTAGAGATGCTTGGTCCTGGGAAAAGGTGCTTCTTCATTGAAGTAACTGGAACATCGATAATATGATCGAAAGAACTGAGGAAACTTGGTGGAGTTTGGGGTCGATCACTTTGAACGAGGTCATATGACTTCCGATGCATGTCACTTAATCCCAATATAGAAGAAGGCCTCTGACGACTGACTGTGTTATCAGAATTCGGAGTCTCTCGTTTTCTTGGGAAGCCTTGTTTATCATGATTTTCTAACACAGGAGAATGTATTGGTGAGGTCGAAATATCTCTTAAGGTTGTTGATTGTTTCTCTCTCATCATAGAGGAAAAGTTCTTCAGGTTTTTGACGTATTCTTTTAAAAGCCTTACAGCCATTTCTCTTGTGAGAGAAAGATGTTCTTCACAGCACCCACCTTCAATCACGCTGGAACTCATAGGGTCTGAGGAGGGAGATGAAAACGAATTGCTACTGGTTTCATCGAACATCCCAAACAGCACTTCATTAGTTGCAGTTGGTTTTCTTTTCCAAGACGTATCTACGTTATAAAATCTACTGCCAGGGTCAAAACCATTAAGCGTTGATCCAGAATCATTCGTGAAAACTTGATTACTCGAAGTCGACGAATTTTCCCAATTGCCTGGAGCGATTTCAGGAGTTAATTTATAGCCGACAGACGTATAATATTCCGAAATACTCTTGTCAGTAGGCATCCAAAGTACTTTAGAAAGCGAATTTAAATAGACGGTTTAGAACGTAATAAAATTACTGAAATATGAGGAGTGAAGTTGCAAAGGGGCAGTTCCTAATGACGAAATAAAAAATCCAGCGAGTGTCTGTATTTTCTAAACTGTTGTTTAAACATAAACATAACTATGAATAAAATAAAAAAGAGCGAAAATGTAGATATCCATTCTTCTGAGCTTTCAGCTGTTTCTCGAAATAATGCACATAACAAGAATGAAGGTCGCAACGTAAACACATGACTCGAAGCATGATATATGAAAAAACTGCCTAAAACTTTTACACAGTCTTTGACATGCTTAAACAAATTCAGTCGAATTTTCTCAATGTTCGCATGATTAAGGATTTTATATGATAATAAATTTGACTTTTTCGTCATCAGATTAACTGTTATATGTTTGCATAAGTTGGTAGTTATCCAATCTCTTTTTCAGGAGCTTATCATAAATCGAATGCTTCCCTTGAGCTCATTTCGTGGTGATTCAGTAGCGCTTCAGGTATGTGTCGTTTGATGTAAAACCCATATAAGAATAAATGGGCAGAATACAGCATTAAAATAGCTTAAATTTCCTTTGACAAAAGCAGATTTTACCTAAGAACCGCTGTAAGTACAGCTTACCTCTACTCATAAAACCGAGCTTTGTCTATCTTAAGCCAGGTGTAGTTAAGCACATCTCTGAAGGTGAGATAGCTAACACCAATTCCATGGGTCCCCAAAGCATATATCTGAAATTTCACTAAAAGAGGTACTATTCCGTTCACCCAGTGAACGGGCAGAATATCGTATACGATATGTTGTTCACGTAAACAGAATGTCCTCTCGGTGTGATATAAATACAGTAGAATAAGTCAGACTGAAACTAATTGGGCTTAACCAGAATGAATTTAGTTCACAGTGATCTGAGTTTGGGTTGAAGGATATGTTAGGTGATAGATTCATTTTTCTGAGAATCTGAAAGAGTGGACTCGATGAAAATCCGAATATCATAGAAAAAGTCGACATTAACATCAGAATCATTCAGTAGAAAGACAATCTAGACTCAGAAGAACGAGAAAACATGGGTCCCACATATCATCAGTAGGCTACTGTGAAGAAAATCAATGAGTTTATCATTGAATGAGAGGAATGTATATAAATGTGTATATACTAATAAGATTAGAACTCTTCAACTGGGTATCTGCAAGCTTCTGAAGAATCTCGTGAAAAAATTCTCTTCGAAACATTTAAAATCATCGATCACACCTATTCGGATGAAACTGTCGGTCAAAACTGACGAAGTAAGCATATGTGTAAAGTTTTTCTAGAACTACTTATTTTGGAACGCTAGTCACAACCCGTACCCACTATCTAACAATGAAACCCTTAGAGCTGCAGATTAATCTTGTCGTAAAAACCTGTGAACTATCATCTTGTGAAATTTTAACACTTGCGGGACACAGTTAACCACGTTTTTACTAGAGACGCGTGGTAGGTAAGAAGTGAACGTGCATGTTTATTGCATCTCCGTTCACGTATTTTCTGAGAAGGCTGAGCACTGCAAATCATCAAAATAACGAACTGAAATTGTAATCCTCATTACTAACTTTTGAATTATAATTTATATTTCCGTACGATGATTGTGACTAGGTTATTGTTTTCAGGTATGCTATTTATTATAGGTTTCGTGTGGATCAGTTAATTATCGCTTCATAATTTGTAATTTATGTACTGCCTACTTCTCTCTCTGCTGCTTACGATGTGACTATATACAAGATGTTACATTTTTTATTGTGGTCTGTTTCAATCATAGATGTAAAAACTGAGATAGTCATTCTGACTGCTTTTAAAATATTGTAGATGCTTAATTGCTACATTTGCTCATTCGCAATCAGGATTCGACAACAATCTGCTAATAGGAGTTAAGCATCCGTAAGCCTTGGCCTAACTTGAATCGTGTTGGTCGGAAAGCATCAGTGATCGAGATAATAAACTCCAAAATATAAAGGACGAGTTAAATAAATGATTTCGATTGACGCCTCAGATACAAAATACAAAGATATGATTTTTTACGTCTAAGTAAGAATATTTAAAACCTAACGTTTTGTTGTTTTCAGAACAGCCATTATAAAAAAACGTGACACTGTTGTTACAGCAAATAAAAGATTGAGAAAAGAGTGATAGGAACAACTATATTTTTGGTATTATGGGAACTTCGTTTTCTCATCAGGAGCTGTCTTTTCTCCATTTTGTGGAAACAATTCAGATCTCGTCGAGCTTAGTTGTCGGAAACTGAATGACACTTTTGGCGTAAGTTAGCATAGTGCAAAACTTAGCGGAAAGTTAATTGCTTTACAAGCATGTTTTTGTTAGCTTGACGGTGTTAACTTCCTTGTCTTCTGTTATTCCGTTTAAGGATTTGTACTGTGATCTGAAGTCTAGGTTACAGTAGTTCCTATCATTAGCTACATTAATGGGTTGTATAATGGATCACAGCGCATGCACATGTGTATACAATACTGTATGGGAGGTTGTTTAAATAATAATAATATTCATAACAATAATAATTTATACTCACATAACAACGTATTACAAGAGGCATGCCGATTTACAGGCAAGATCAACATAATAAAACTGATAACAAATTTCTTGTAAAACATTGTTCAATTACTGAAATATTTCACAAGATACATTGGCTCCATATAGATAGCCAAATTTTTCCACACGATGATTTAACAGAATCTGCAATGTACAGTGCGAATGGTTGTCGCGAGTTACGACGGTTGTGTTACGACGAACTACTAATGACTGCGAAACAATGCAAGGTAGGGCCAGGTCTGCTTATAACAAGAATCGAGGAGGTAAATGTAATAAGATGTGATTGATATTTGTCAGCTAATAAATGTGCAGGCTCCTGGGTATACTAACCAAGTCTTCGGCAATTATCCGGACTTATATTTAAGGATTGGAATAAGGTGCTGAAAAAGAGGAATAAAGGGAAAGAGTCGAGAAGCAGAACAGAAAATATTCTTGTTTAGAGCCAAACAATGACTCAGCAGATACTTTTTTAAATTAGAACATTAACTGCACACCTGCAATTCACAAGTAAGATAACGAATGGGCAATTAATAGTATGAACAGAGGAAATTCAGAGGTACCAAGTTGTTAGCAATAGTGTTAATAATAATAATAATTTATTCTCACATAACAAACATGTTACAAGAGACATGCCAATTTACAGGCAAGAACAAAATGTTAAGATTAGCAACATATTTCTTTTTAAAACGGTATACAGTTACTGAAACACTTCACGAGATTCATTGGATTCCTAAAGATGGAATGTACAATCCGAATAATTGGCGCAAGTTACGAAGGTTGCGTTACGACAATCATCTCAAGGACTGAGAAACGATTTGTGGTAGAGATAGGTTATCATATAGCAAGAATTGATGCGGTAAATATACAAAGATCTGGTTGATATTCATCAGCTAATGATTTCACATGTTCTTGGGTAGGGTAACCAAGTCTACTGCAAATATCCAGACTAATATATGGGGATAAGAATAAGGTTCTGAAAAAAGAGAAATAAAGAAAACAGGACGAGGAGCGGAACAGAATATATTCTTGTTCAAAGCCGAACAACGGCTTCGTACATACATTTATGGATAAAACGAAGGTATGTTTACTCAGACTTTTTTAATATCATAACAAAAACTAAACACCTGCACTTATGTAGGTTAATGAAGACAATTCAGTAGTGAGATAACTAATCGGAAGTTAGTCGAATGAATAGAGGGAATTCAGAAGAACCAAGTTGTTAGTAATAATGTTGATTTACAAAATATGATAAAGAGGCTCAGTGATATAATTTTTTTACTTTGTTTATTCTTTTTATTCTTAACTCTGAGGCTCAAGAAGTTATGAATGAGCTCTTTTTTAGTATAGTTGTCCAGACCAGCTTGTATTATTATTATTAATAGGATTTCTTGTTAGGAAGTAAAAACCAGTGCAAGGTTACAGACATGAGTTGTAGACGAGGTTAACAAGGAAAAGTAACATCAATATCACTGATTTGTTACATCCTGCTATATCGTAAGGAGCCGTAAGCAAACAAAATGTTCTGCCACACAGACATGGGTAGATTGAGGTTATCGCCCCACCGTCATGAATACTGGTCAGATACACCACCCTCCCTCCTTTTGTGATGTTAGGTTGTTTTAGGTTTAATGGTAGATTTTAAACCAGGTGTTTTAGTCTACTCTCTATTTCTTATACACCTTGTCAGAATACGTTTCCTCTACCAGCTCCAAGTTACTGGCAAACCAGACAATTTTGCCTTCTGTATGTAAGACAAAACACCCACCTAGCATACCACACTGATTTTCAGTAAACTGGCGGTATAAATTGTAAGATGCATGTCAGTTAATTAGCAGTTTGGTGATAGGAAGGATAAGGAGCTGGAGAAAAGACGAGTTTAAATAATGTCCAAAATAAATGAGAAAAGCGATAAGTTGGTAAGCAGGCAAGGTGTTTGGATGTTAATGAGTTGGTGAAATAAAAGTTTATTATACTGTTAATACTTAAACAAGAAGGAACTCACAGTGAAACACGAAGTTTGAGTTCCTTGGGACTGACAGTAGTTGAGCAGCATCTACAGGCTTTTCAATTTTTCTGTCTACTAGAAATAACAACTAAAACTGCTTCGAAGATATGAAAATAATGATTGGAATTTGAATTTAGAGAAAAGTCACGGGTAGCACCTTAAAGGCGTAACCTATTGCTGTTAGTAGGGGTCGTCTGGATTTAGAGATAATAGCTGAGACATGTTCTTCATGTTTTAGGCTGCTGGAGTAACGAATACACAGATCGTGTGCTGATATGAGTGTCTGAACCCTTCATTTTTGTACGTTGAGTGGTACATCATGGTGATGCTTACTAAGATTCATGATGCCACATTTGTCGCGGTTAAACGGTAGCTGCCATGTTTCAATTTATGTAGTTAAGTTATCGAAATCACTCTGAATCCTGGCTATATTTTCATTAAGATCTTCAGGCTTGTAGTTGTATAATATTTTCAGATCAACAGCATATAAGAACGCTTTACATATATCGTTTATGTACATAAGAAAAAAGAATGGACCCAATACACTTCCTTGGGTATCTCCACTGTTTATTGGTAGTGGTGATGCATTGCAATAGCTGTATTTAACCATTTATTGGCGCCCGTTTAAGAATGAAGCAAACCATGAAAATAATTGGAAAGTGATTCCGAATGCCTTTGATTTAGGG